CAAGACAAAGATCTTTGAAATTCGCAGTGTTATAAACTGCTCTACAAATAGAGTAATTTATATGCTGGAATGTCCATGCAATAAATTATATAAAGGTAAAACCAACAGGTCCTTGAGGGTCTGTATCGGTGAACATCTGAGAGATATTAAATGTAAAATATCAACCACAGGCAAAGAAAGAGAAAATCCCCTAAGAATTTTAAGGAAGTACATGGTGGTAAGCCCGACGATCTAAAGGGGAAGGGAATTTTTTTTCCCTAAAATTATCCCCTAGATGAGGAGATTTTGATAACATTTTACTCCAGAAAGAAAAGTTCTGGATATATACCCTGGATACACTTATTCCTACGGGAGTGAACACAGAACTTAATTTGGGGGTATGTCTTGAGTAAATGCTATGAATTGTGATCCTCTTAACTTTACTTCATTTTAAAATTTCAAACATGCTTTGATGTTCTGTCTTCCCTTGTGTTCCACAAGGAATGTAGATCAGGGCTCATAATTTCAAGTCCTGAGCTACTAGCTAGGCCTTAACCACTAGCCTACAGGGAACTTATACCCCCTTCCTGCCCAGGCCAGTTTTCAGCTTTCAGCGCTGTCGCATTTTGAATGACAATTGCGCGGTCATGCAACACTGTACCCATATGAAATGTTTATGATTTTTCTGAGACAGATAGAGCTTTCTTTTGGTGGTATTTAATCACCTCTGGGTTTTTTATTTTTTGCTAAACAAATCAAAAACAACTAAAAATTTAAAAAAAAAAATGTTTTTCTTAGTTTTTGTTATATAATTTTGTAAATAAGTGATTTTTCTCCTTCACTGATTTGTGCTAATGAGGCTGCAGTGATGGGCACTGATAGGCAGCACTGACTGGCACTGATAGGTGGCACTGATTATCAGCATTGATAGATGGCACTGATTAGCAGCACTGATAGGTGGCACTGACTGGCATTTATAGGTGGCACTGAAAGGCAGCTCAGATGGGTAATTATATGTGGCATTGATGTGGCACTGATGGGCACTGGCAGTTGGCATTGATGAGCACTGACAGCTGGCATTGATGGACACTGACAGGTGGCATTGCTGGGGATTCACTGATCATCAGGGCACACTAATCATCAGTGCCCTGAAGATCAGTGTACATGTCCCCTCCGAGGAATGCCGATTACCGTCTCTCCTCTCGAGCTGTCAGCATGACAGCTTGTGAGGAGAGAAATGCTGATAACCAGCATTTCCCTATTTACATGTGGTCAGCTGTGATTACACACAGCTGATCACATGACTGAGCCAATATCGTCGGCTCTTTCCGTTGATCGGTAATCCTCTGTGTACGAGGGACACAGCACACCACCGATCGCCGTGCTGCATGATCCCGGAGCCGCGCATGCGCAGTTAGAGTGGGAGGACGTCATATGATGTCCTCCCAGACGAGAGAACTGCCTTGCGCCCATCATTGCCTTATATGGCTGGCGGGAGGCGGTTAAGAGTTAGTCGCCACCAGTTACCCCACCCAACCCTTACCCTGAATTGCCCCTAAATTCCGCCCCTAAACACGCCCTTGTAAATTATCTCATGAAATGACACTGTTACATGTTACCCACATTACATCAGGGTCCCCATAGTCTCCCCACATTACATTAGGGTCCCCAGAGTCCCCCCACATTACATCAGGGTCCCCAGAGTACCCTCACATTACACCAGTGTCCCCAGAGGCCCCCCACATTACATTGGGGCCTCCAATGTCCCATTAAACACTCCATCATACTTAGACCATGCACTGCATACAACCATAACTCCCTATAATCTTCACACTCACAAAACCATAACTCTACCAAGCATATCCTACCTTCTCTCCAACCTAGCAGTACCTCAAATTCCCCATACTCCAACACCCATAATAACCACATCATCCTGAACCTGACCAAACCAGCCAAACATGTATGTTTACACACAGACACATGTGCACACACACGTACACAGAAACATGTACACACATAGACAAATGCACATACACACATGTACAGACACACATACATGTATAGACACATGTACATACACACCAGAGACACATGTACATGCACAGACACATGTACATACACAGACACATACACAGACACACACACACACACACAGATACATACACACACAGGTATATGTACATACACACAGATACATGTACATACACACAAATACGTGTATATACACACAGACACACGTACATACACACATGTACAGACACATGTACATGTACATACATACAGACACACGTACATACACACAGACACATGTACACACATACACATGTACATACACACAGATACACATACATACATACACATGTACATACACACAGACACACATACATACATACACACAGACACATGTACACACATACATGTACACACAGACACATGTACACACAGACACATGTACACACATACATGTACACACAGACATGAACACACACACAGACACATGTACATACACACACACACAAATACATACACACACACACACACAAATACATGTACACACACACACACACACACATACAGATACATACACGCAGATACATGTACATACACACACACGCAGAGATACATACACACAGACACATGTACATACACACATATATATGTACATACTGTAAATACACAGACACATGTACACACACATACATACACAGACACACACACACACACATGTATAAACACACACACACACACACACACACACACACAGACACTTGCACACACACGTACAGACACGTATATATACACAGACACTTATATACACACAGCCACATGCACACATACATACATACACAAACATACATACACACACATACATACACAGACAGACACACACATATACATACACACATACACATGTACCTACACACAGACGCATGCACATACACACACACGTATGCACATACACACACAGATACACACACACACAGCCCTATAAAAAGTTGCAGTATTTCCTTACCTTCACTCACAGAGGTGGGTACTGCACACTAGGAGGAGGAAGAGAGCACAGCACACACTCCTTCCTTTGCTTTCACTGCGCTCAGCTATTGAGCAGTATGACGGCTTCCAGTGTGAGTGACAGAGCCGGCCTGAGCTCTGAGCCTGCTCAGCAAGACAGCCTTGGGGGCACACTTGCCCCCACTATAATTTCCACTTTCCAATGCGAGCAGACGAGTGCAAATTTCAAGGCCTGATGTAGATTATAAGTACACATTTAAGTTGTTTTTAAGTTAAATTTTTATAGATGACTAATCAACACTAGAGGGTGCTAGATCAGTATTTGATGGCTATTTAAGTAGCACCTCATAGACCCCTCCCTGTTCTGATGAAGTCTGTGGTGATTGGCAAACGAAACGCGTCAACATAAACGTAATGACGTAATCACACCCGGAAGCGATGCACTAAGGCATTCTCTCACCATGTGAGCATACCACACTGAAATTGAAGCCACTCACTCGCGACTTCACACAGCTCCACTATGAACATTCTGCTGCACCATAGTAAATACAGGGACACTCCTAGCCCTCTCCCAGGTCTCCACAGGGATTGGATAAGCAACTAAGGCTACAACAGGACATATCCGAGAATGTTCACCTTCACCACTAAGTCCCGCTATGTTGTTTCTATATCTTTCTCCAAAGATCTAGAACAGGTGAAAGTCTCAGAGAGCTAGTCTGCAGAGCCTATCAACCCTGACCGAAATTTGACCCCTCTGACTGTTGCACCAGGCTGCTACTCAGCCTTTAGCTCTCCATAGCTGACTAGGAGGGTGCTACACTCCTCTTTTGTGGGCAGACAACTATGAACACACATCCATGCAAAATACTTCTGTTGATTTTCCAGTTCCTTACATCTCACATTCATCCATACTTTCTCACACTACACCACCAATTCCTTTCATCTCTTCCCTCCTATCCAACATATTCATCACTCTTACTCTCACGACACATTTCCCTTGATACATCCTGCAACCCACACCTCCTCATCCACCTTTCTATTCATATATAAACCATGGTGAATTAAAGTATACAGGCTTCCTCAAATCATTTTCAAACAAACCATACCTTATTAACACACTGCTATTCACAAACCTTTACGTGCACCCAGCTATGTTCTCTTTTGTTACATTCACATACATACTCACACATATTTAACCATCAAAAACCTCTCAATATCCACCACTCCTTTTCCACAATTCACCTCATTCTTCACCACCTCTGCCCTTCTCAACGTCTCCATTCTCCATTGTTGTATATCTGGAGCACGATATACAACAAATAAAAATAACAAAATAGGTAACACACAACACACTTTCCACACACATTGCTCTATTTTCCTAACCCCATTATCCATACAAAAAATGTCAATCAAAAATTTTACTCTCCTTAGTCCAGTCATATTCTTTTTTTTTTTAAAGTTAGTTTATTGAAAAAAAAAAAAAAATTGCACCTACAAATTATATACTTGTCAAGCCAACACAGTGGCAAGGTACTATCTAGCAAACAGTGTATACAAAGGTATACAAAGTGTATACACAGCTCTGGAGTATCAAAGTCTATAAATTCTGCACATTACGCAGCAACAAATAAGTACATCCACATATATGCATAATAAGAAAAATCAAACAAGAAGAAAAAAACTTACATTAAACAAAAAAAAAGAAGAAAAAAACAGAGTAAGCAATCAGACATAAGAATACTACACACTTATGTTATTAGACTGAGTGTGTCCTGTTACTAAAGGAAATAGAAGGGCACACCGGGGTTTTTTAATCGCTTCCCACCCGCCATACAGTAAAATGACGGACGCAAGGTGGTTCTCTCGTTCTGGGAGGACATCATATGACGTCCTCCCATTCTAACCGCTTATGCGCGGTTCTGGGAGCGCTCAGCGCGGCGATCGGCGGTGCACTGTGTCCCTCGGACACAGAGGATCACCGATCAACGGAAAGAGACGAAGATGTCGGCTCGGTCATGTGATCAGCTGTGTCCAATCACAGCTGATCACATGTAAACACGGAAATGCAGGTTATCGGTATTTCTCTCCTCATGAGCTGTCACGCTGACAGCTCGTGAGGAGAGCCGGTAATCGGCATTCCTTGGAGGGGACATGTACACAAATCATCAGAGCACTGATGATCAGTGTGCCCTGATGATCTGTGTAGCCTCAGCAACTCCACCCGTCAGTGTCCATCAGTGCCAGCTCTAGGTGCTCATCCATGCCACCTGCCAGTGCCCATCAGTGCCACATTTCAGTGCCACATATCAGTGCCCATCTGAGCTGCCTTTCAGTGTCACCCATCAGTGCCAGTCAGTGCCACCTATCAGTGCTGCCAATCAGTGCCACCTATCAGTGCCAGTCAGTGCCGCCTATCAGTGCCAAATATGAGTGCTGCCTTTCAGTACCCATCAGTGCCACCTACCAGTGCCTCCTCATCAGTGTCCATCAGTGCCTATCACTACAGCCTCATTAGCGCACATCAGTGAAGGAGAAAAATCACTTATTTACAAAATTTTATAACAAAAACTAAGAAAAATCTTTTTTTTTCATAATTTTCAGTGGTTTTTGGTTTATTTAAGAAAGAATAAAAAACCCAGAGGTGATTAAATACCACAAAAATAAAGCTCTGTCACAAAAAAAAAGATAAAAATGTCATATGGGTACAGTGTTGCATAACCACACAATTGTCATTCAAAGTGCAACAGCGCTGAAAGCTGGAAATTGGCCTGAGCAGGAAGGGGGTATAAGTGCCTTGTAGGCTAGTGGTTAAAAAGTTGGTTCACTCAGAATCTCGTGCACTTCTGCATAGAAACCAGCTTACAGGTTGTATTTCTAAAGCTAAATTGAACAAGCTAAGCTTAGAAGCTGATTGGCTACCATGCACAGGTGCACAAGATTCTGAGTGAACCAGCTTTAGTAAATAAACCCCAATGTTAGTAGTTGTCCCAAAAGTCATAATAGCACACTGACTTCCAGCCCAAACAGGGGTAGTAGCAAGAACAGAGGGGAGGATTTGACTTAAAACAGAGGGTAACTAAGGTATGGGGTCAGACACCAAATGTAGAAGAGAGTCACTGGTGTCTTGTGTGTCCAGCCAGGGTCCCCAGAGTCTAGTAAACTTCCCTGGACACCCTCTTGCCTCATAAGTTAGCTTATAAAGTGGGATGTTCTGATTAATTAAATGTTTCCACAAACCAATGTACATGAGACAGAACATATCCAGTATAATGCAAAGGTCTTCCTGACGTAATAGAGCAATATTCGTAAGAATCGTTTAGCTTTAGCAGTCAGTTCAATATCGTCAAATACCCGAGACACCGCTTAGGACTACGGATATTGGAGAGATCAAAATGAACTGAAATAAATGCAGTAATCTCAGACCAAAACGGTCTGACCAGACCATATGCATAAACTTCCTTTGTTCTGACTCACATTTATAGCATCGAGGGTGGTGCATTTGCCCATAAAAAATAAATGCTTAGGTGTATAATACATTTTGCATAAGTATCTCAGTTGTATGAGCTTGTCCCTATCAGATATTACAGTATTGGGATATGAGACATACAGCTCCTTCCAGTCATCTAGAGAGAGGTCTGGGATATCAACCAGCAACTTTTCTTGTACTTTAGTTAGCTGGGTAGAAGGTCTGTCCAGTAGTAAGGAGTAGTAAGTAGAAATAAGTTCCTCCCGGAGTCCTAGCAGCTCCTCTGCCATGTGGCATAATTGTAAGTACCTGAAGAGCCATCCCAGTGGGATACTGTATGTATCTCTCTTCAAGTGTATATTATTATTATTATACAGGATTTATATAGCGCCAACAGTTTGCTCAACACTTTACAATATAACGGGAGACAATATAGCAAAAATACAGTTCAATACAAGAGGGTTAGGAGGGTATAAAGTATTAATTACGACCCCTTGATATAACTGATGAAGTTAGGTTAAACCGTACCTAGCCCAATACAGACTACAGTATCTGTTAGGTCATAGAAGTGTGGCAAACGGGGATTAAACCGTAATGGCTGGGGTTTCACCTAAAATATTTAAGCAGTGGTTGTAAATTCACAGAGAGGCCTTTAGAGTTACCATCTTTGTGGTAGAATTAAGTGTTCAAAGTCTCAAAGGAGGAGACCACTGCCACTTCAGCCACAATAGCTGCGTTGCTCTGTTGGGAAAAAGCCACCAATGGATATAAACCAATTGGGCGGTATAATAATAGATGCACAAATCAGGCAATGCCAAAACACTGGAGATAGGAAGTGGCAAAGTGTCCAACAGAAAGTCTAGGTACCTTAGGTTGCCAATGGAAGGTAATGAGAAGTGAATCAATTTCCTGGAAGTGGTGTTTGGAAACATATACTGGGGAATTAGCAAGAATATAAAGACATTTTGGCAGGAAGACTATTTTGAATAGGTCCATATGCCCCAACAGGGTGAGAGGTTAATCCAATGACTAATTCGGGTGCAAAAAGAAGAGGATACGGTTATCAAAATACTTTTCCAATGGAAGCTGGATGTCAACACCCAAATATCTAAAGTTATGGGTAATTTGTAATAGGCAAGACTGGGGTAACTGGAGAGGTGGGTCTTCATCATAGAAAATATACAAGATTTTGTGCAATTGACTATGAATCCAAACTGCTGGAAAAGTTCCAGAGCAGCAGGAGCATTGTGCAGTGGGTCTGACATATACAGTAACATATTGTCTGCATATAATCATACTCTTTCCTGCAGAGAGCCATTTTGAATCCCTTTAGTTAGAGGGGGAACTCAAAGAAGTTCCACCAGGAGTTCAATTGCAAGCGCAAACAAAAGGGATGAGAATGGACACCCCTGTCTAGTACCTCTCTGGATGGAAAAGGGAGCAGATATACAGTCATTGACCCTTATACGCGCTTGGGGGAGCATATATAAAATTTATATCCAAGAAAAGAAAGTGTCACCAAACCTGAATTTCTGTAGCACCTGAAAGAGATATGGCCATTCAATGGAGTCAAAAGCACTCTAAGGGAATGTGAGGTATTGGTAACATTCAAGATAGCGAACAGCCACTGTAAATTATTATAAGCAGACCTGCCCGGAATAAAGCCAGTTTGATCAGATTTAATCAGATGGGAAACTAATGAGTTCAATCTGGTGGCAAATATTTTGGATAGGATCTTAACATCTGTGTTAATTAAGGATATAGGGGTGGTAGAACTCACAATATTGGGGATCTTTATTAAGCTTGTAGATTAAAGCAATAAGAGCTTCTCGCATAGACTCAGGGAGAGATTGTTCCTCTAAAATGTACTTATAAATAAAAAGCAAATGAGAAAGGACAAAGTCTTTGTGGATTAAATACCATTCGCTAGGCAGACCATCTAAACCAGCTGTTTTATGTTTAGCAAAGTGGCTCAAAATATGCTCCAGCTCATCAGCAGAAATTTGGGATCCAGGTAGTCTCTGTCCTCAGGAGTAATGGAAGGAAGGCTTACAGATTGAAAATATCCCAACAGTTCATCAGGTGTATATTGTACCTGGAGGTATAAAGATCAGTGTAAAACTGCAGGAAAGTGGCCATATAAAATTCAGTAGTTTCCTGCATATCATCATCTGCACGATCCTCTATCCTAGGGATTATAAATGATTCATGAGTCAGTTTAGTCAGCAAAGCTAGCAATTTCCCATTTTTATCCCCCTGTTCAAAAACATGTTGTGCTGAATAAAGGAGTTTTTCTGTGTTTTATCCGTTAAAGCTAAAGCATATTCCTGTTCAGCATGTTTCCATTGGCAATAGTTAGTCCACTAGGGACCTCCACTCCTACTGAAGGTACTTTTAGCAGAACTAACAGCACCATTGAATAAGCTGTTGAGATCGGGATAATGCAGCATTATATTACAGACTTCAGATGATGACAATGCTTTTATGAAATTGGTCTTCCAGAAAATGGAACATCTGATGGTGAAAGAGATAAAGTCTTATTGAGATGTCAGCACACTCACAGAGTATTAATCATTGGAGCAAATTCCATGTGGATTAAGGATAAAGAAATTTCCAACCTTCGATCTCTTTGATGACGGGTTGAATAAGCAGGGGATGAATGTTTTGACGGATTGTTCATCTAAACTAGAGGCTATAGCCCTTCGTACTCAATAATTTCTTTCAGGTTTCTTACTGGTTTATTATATTGCTTATGTATTGAGGTTGACTGGTATTGCAGGTCTTTATTATCCATAGGAATATCATATTGTCCTGTTATCGGTGTGTTGGGGAACAGGACATTTGGTCTGGGAGGTAGGGGGTTGATAGTGGGAAAGTGATTTACCTCAGCTCCCTTCTTCCCTTTTTTATTGGGAGGGGGGTGGTTGGTTGGGTTTGGGAGGATCACTGTGGGAGGAACATTGGGGTACCTTGGGATGTGCTCTGTGGGGTTTTTTGCTTTGTTTTGGGGGGGGGGGATTATTGAGGGGTGGTTGGGGTTCTTGGAGGTGGTGGGGGGTTGGGTCCCCATTGGGGAGGTGCGGGTACTATGGGCACACGGGGGACATTTGGGTACCATCAGTGAGTTTCTGTTGAGGGAGGTTCCTTCCATGTCGGGGGTGAGGGGCTTTCATGATTGGGAGTGATCACCAGGTCCCCGATGCAATGTATCTTTACCTTGTATGTTTTTTATGAATAAATGTTTTTGAGGTTAGCCTTTTAGGTGTGTAGCCTATTTTCTTTTTTCTTTGGTTTTGGTATCATATGCTTTAGGTAGCATCCTTCCAGATTGTTCTAGAGGCACCTCATTTTTTTTCTGAATTATAGTGGCTTCTCTCAGTTTTTTTTCTTTTTTTTTCTCCTTTTTACAAGAGTTCAACTGAGCCTACTTGATCCGTTGGACGAGACGATTTATGCTGCCCAATCTAAGAAATGAAGGATGAAAGCTCTCCCAAATAGGACCTGAAATTCTTGCCTTGATGGACCATGTGTCAGTCACCAAGGTTGTACCTATGTTCAAAGAGGAGCCATCAAGTGCCCATAAAACATGTAAGGGTGGCACAATCCCCAAAATACCAGAAAGCATCCTGACATGGAGCTCTTTGCTGACCACTGTAAGTATGTCATCTCTAAGTATGTGCTGACTTACCAGTTTATCCTGGATTTCCAGCCAGAAATGCAGAAGCTGCCTTCTCTGAAGTGAGCGTAGAAACTGACTCTTGAACTTCGGTCTGCTTTAACTCAACAGACGTTCATCTTGAGACAGGAAGCCAAACTGGCCACTATTAAGTTAGGATTCACCTAAATTATTGGTGAAGAAACTATCATTGATCAAGAACAATGCAGTGCTTGAGTACATCCTTGAAGGCCACAGCATCTTCTAATAGTAAGGTCATGTATCTGGCCAATCCCATAAGGGACACACTGACCAAGAGGGTGATTCCAAACCCTAGACACCTTCCTGTTCAAAAGGGCATAATTTTGACATCTTGCTGTGACAACATGCTCCAATGTTGTAGAACAAGCACTTGATGCAGTCACCCTAAGGGAATGGTCAAGCCATCCTCTGGAGGCACTTGAAATACTTTGTTTAAAAGCATTTCCCAACCCTTAGAAAAGGGGGAGTCAAAAACCTGGACAAAGGTTATCATCTTCTTATTCAGAAGAGACTAAAGATGACTGATTGGCTTAAGAAGGCTCTGAGACCAGTTTTAATGGCCCTGAAAGGAAAACATGATCTTACTATTCTCCTAGATAGTAAGCTCCAAGGAGCAGGGCCCTCCTATCCCTCTTGTATTGAACTGTATTGTTGCTGTATTGTCTCCCTTTATAACGTAAAGCGCTGAGCAAATTGTTGGCGCTATATAAATCCTGTATAATAATAATAATAATAATAATAATACTATTAATAGAATAGTTGGCCTTTGCAGAAGGTGAATTCAGCAATTCCCTTAGAGTGTCTTGATCACTTGCTTAATTGTGACAACTTGGTCACCACCATCTTAATCACTGTCTGCTTGAATAAAGCAGGAATCATACAGTCATGTTCATCCACATCTTCTTTAGAAGAATCTGACAAGGGTTGATTTGCCTGAGAAGGTTCTGAGACTGTTCATTGACAGAATATATACAGTAAATGACCCCTTCACAGGGTAAGTGGAAGCAACTCCTTTAGAATGTATTGACCACGTGTTCAATGAATGAGATAACCTGTTAGGTGTCAACTTCTTAATCCCTGGCTGCTTGAACCAGCAGGGCTCATACAGTCATGCCCAATGATATCTTCTTTTTATAAAAGTCTGAAGAGGAATGTTTGCCTGGAAGGCCCTAGACTGCTCATTGATAGAATAGATAACCCTTTCACAGGGTGAGTGGAAAACTCCTTTAGAGTGTATTTGCCTTGTGTAACAACCTGTTAGGTATCGTCATCTTTATCCTTGGGTGCTTGGACAAAGCAGTATTCATGCAGTCATGTTCATCTGCATCATCCTCTTTGGAAACTCTGAAGAGGGCTATTTCACCTGGGAGGGCTAGGTGGATTCTCATTGCCAAAGCAGATAACCCTTTCAAAGGGTGCATGGAAACCACTCCTTTAACCACTAGCCTACAGGGCACTTATACCCCCTTCCTGCCCAGGCCAATTTCCAGCTTTCAGCGCTGTCACACTTTGAATGACAATTGCGCGGTCATGCAACATTGTACCCATGTGAAATTTTTATCATTTTTTTGAGACAGATAGAGCTTTCTTTTGGTGGTATTTAATCACCTCTGGGATTTTTATTTTTTCTTAAATCAAAAACCACTGAAAATTTTGAAAAAAAAAAAAACGTTTTTTCTTAGTTTTTGTTATACAATTTTGTAAATAAGTGAATTTTCTCCTTCACTGATGTGCACTAATGAGGCTGCAGTGATGGGCACTGATAGGCTGCACTGATGGACACTGATAGGTGGCACTGATGAGGAGGCACTGGTAGGTTGCACTGATGGGCATTGACAGGCATCACTGATGGGCACTGAAAGGCAGCACTGATACATGACACTGATAAATAACACTGATATATGGCACTGATAGGCGGCACTGACTGGCACCGATAGGCGGCACTGACTGGTACCGATAGGCGGCACTGACTGGCACCGATAGGTGACATTGAAAGGCAGCTCAGATGGGCACTAATATGTGGCATTAATGTGGACTGGTATGCACTGATGGGCACTGGCATATGGCACTGATCGGCACTGGCACTGATAGGTGTCACTTCTGTGGCCACACTGATCATCTGTGCCCCGATGATCAGTGTACATGTCCCCTCCGCGGAAAGCCGATTACCGGCTCTCCTCTCCTCTCGAGCTGTCAGCGTGACAGCTCGAGAGGAGAGAAATGCCGATAACCGGCATTTCCGTGTTTACATGTGATCAGCTGTGATTGGACACAGCTGATCACATGACTGAGCCGACATCTTCGGCTCTTTCCGTGATCGGACACAGCGGACCGGCTATCGCCGCGCTGCACGTTCCCTGAGCCGCGGATGCGCAGTGAGAATGGTAGGACGTCATATGACGTTCTATCAGAACGAGAGTACCACCTTGCGCCCGTCATTGTACTATAGGGCGGGCGGAAGGTGGTTAAAGTGTATTGACAATGTGTTTATTGAATGTGACATCCTGTTAGGTGCCATCATCTCTGTCCTTGGCTGCTTAAACCAGCAGGATACACTCAGTCATGCTCATCCACACCTTCCTCTTTATAGAGTCTGACAAGGGCTGTTTTGCCTGGGAAGGTTATGAGACTGCTCATTACCAGAACATATAATCTGTTCACAGGATGAGTGGAAACAATCCTTCTGAGTGTATTGGCCACTTGTCTAATGAATGTGCCAACCTGTTAGGTGTCATCATCCTCATCTCTAGTTCCCTAAACAAAACAAGATTCATACAGTTGTGTTCATCTGCATCTTCTTTTTTGAAGAGGGCTGTTTTTCTTTGGAAATATCTGAGACTGTTTATTGCAAGAATAGATAATACTTTCATAGAGTTTTGGCTGCTACTTAACAAAGCAGCTCAAAAAAAATAATTAAATGCAGTAGAAAAATAGCTTGCTTAGTAACAAACCCTAAATGGTTAACTACTGCTAGAGGGAGGCTGATACTGCAGCTTCCAACCACAGCCCTAAGATCACCAGGTGTTAATGAACCAATCCTCGCCCTGCCAGAGAGCGAGACATGATGAAAAGTTTTTTTTTTTTTTTTTCAGAAGAGCAACAAAAAGGTAGAAATCTGCAACATAAATACAATATTATTCTGCAATATACACAAACCATCCAAGGGAATTGTTGACATCATAAAGATATTCTCTTTTTTTTTATGTCTTAGAAACTGAAGAGCACAAACAAATATAAAATGATTTCCTATACTCCATCAGGCAATAGTTGGCAATAGTCATCCACAGGCAACTCCTTTACCTTCTCTGGGAATGCTGGTCTTTTGAGGAAGTTGGCATAATGGCACAATAGTAAAGCAAACATGAGAAGCCACCAACAGGTTAATTCCATGTGTGAACAAAGTATTAATTTGTACACCTGTTATGCAGAGTAGTACCTCTGGAGGAGCTCAGGGTATGCACAGTGGCTGCAGGGAGTAAGGCATAACAATACCTAGCAATGCAGCATTCATTTGCATACAAAACATTTTTAAATGTAGCTCACCCAACCTCAGCCATCTGACTGCAAACACTGGCACTGCTGCGTGTGCCTAGGGGAGACTGCTGGTACCGCTGCTCACTTCACATGGCTCCAGCGGACCCCAGACATAGCTGTTAGCCATAATAAAAGTCACCCAGGGGACCAGCAGTGGGGTTCCCTGGATCATAGACCGCATCCAGCTGAAACCCACACACATGAATGGACAGCCAGCCCTTTAGACCAGCAAGGTAGAGGAACACACCTAGGTCCTGGAAGCATGAGGGTGTGGATGCCCATACCCAGCTGTGCTGACATGGAGTCATCAAGAAAATACCTTTTCCTCTTGCCACCAATAACTTTATCTAACGTACTGTTCCACAATGACTAAAATAAGTATAACCACCACCCTTTCCTACATCCACCAAACCAAAAGCGCTTATCATATCCCTCAATTCTTTACCAAATCCTGCCACCATCACTACTTTAGGATATTGTAATTTTTTATATATATATATATATATATATATATATATAGTATACAGCTGCTCTAGGTCTACACACATTGTTTGTAACACATGAGATCAAACATGCTCATAAAACCAATCAATCAAATTGCTTGACATTTTGGTCAATGGGAAAAGGTGTATATTAGGGAAGGTTTTTTGGTTGAGTGGTGACAGGAGAAAGTGGGTCCTTTGAAGGTGTCTGATGATTGCATGAATATCCTAAGTACCCTGTCATCTGCATTGTCTGTACCTCTGTTTTATGGATTGTTTCTGAGCTGATTAAATACATCTCTCTGGAAAATAACTATTGGACCAGTTGCTGCGGGAAAATACATTTATAAATACACTCGTCATTCTTCCTAATTGATATAAGACAACAACTACCACCACCCCCTACTCACTCCTTGACCAAAACTCCCTCCCACCACCCCATCCCCATTATGTACACTACCCATATCACCCCCGTCCCCCATATGACAATTATTTATATCGCCCCTGCCACCTCATCTATCCCTCTCATATAATATACAATTAAAGTTACTGATAATAATTGTTGGTTCCCTCTCTCATAAAAATAAACCCATTTTCTCAAACAATCCCAACCCCCCTCCTATCCACAGGTGCATAAGCACAAACATTTTACATAAAACATTATTGAGTTCAAAATAAACTAACAAACACATCCCCACCTCAGTTTCCACTTTGTTTTCAATCCTAATCTGTTTATTTTTTACATAAAACCCCTACCCCACTATGTTTAATGTTTTTATTCAGGGACCACACAGAATCTAAAAAGCACCATTTGACAAAAATGGGCTCCTCAGACAGGAAGCAATCCTGCAGGCTATAAATGTCACACCTATGGCTAGCCAGAAGATTAAAAATGGCTGCCCTTCTGGGTGAGGAGCCAATACTCTAACCGCATTCCTGCTGCCCCATAGCAGATATACTGCTACAGGGAGGCAGTGGCATGCACAATCATGTATATATATGTAACTTTACATTTTCGGGTAGGGGGCCATTCGTGGCTGCAGCTGTCAATCACTGGGTCCCTGATGGTGATTACTCTCCGGCGCCTGGTGATTGCCAAGCATCTCTGATGGGGGGGAAAACTGTTTGTAAACAAAACAGTTCTCCTCTGTCAGCTCCTTCACACTGCTTTGCATGGCTGTGCTTACAGTGAAGCACAAACATACAGCCCCTAGTAATACAGCACACAGTTAACTCATTACTCGCCCCACATGTTAACCCTTTCCTGCCCAGTGTCATTAGTACAGTGTCAGTGCTTTTTATTAGCACTGATCACAGTATTGGTGTCACTTGGGACGTCAGTGACACCAAGTAATTTCCTCCAAGTGTCAGAATGCCCACTGCAGTCCCTCTATAAGTCATTGATCTCCGCCATTACTAGTAAAAATAGTTTACAAAACAAATCCAGGGCGTGTCCAAGATGGCGCCCGGAGGTCCCGCTGTCCCTGCTGGCACTTGGTAGGGGGGCACCAAGTGAATTTGGCCCCCCTCCGCGGCAGCCTGGTCCGGCCTAACGAGGCCTCGTCTGACGCCGGGCTCACGCCCATCTGGAGGCCATGTGAGTGCGGTTTGCGGTGGGAGGGAGTGTTGGGATGTAATCGGGCCCCCCCCACCCGAACCAGTAGGCCACCGTACCCAGTCCATCGGGCCCCCCCCCACCCGTACCCATGGAAATGCGGCCTCTGATAAAGGCCTTAAGGAGCCCCCAGCACACTGAGTGACATCACGGCCCCCACGGGCCTGTACCCATATTGGGCCCTGCAGACAGCCACCTGGGGGTTACAGAGGTGCTCCCTGCACCCCCCCGACAGACTCTGGAACCAGCACCCTAGGGAGCCCATAGCTTCCCTCCTCTTCAACCCCTGTGCCTGCTTGCCTGCCTCCCCACATAGTCTGAGGCCTACATTTGGGCCCCTGAGCCTTTTGGAAGATTTTTACTACAAGTTTATATTTGTTGGGGGGCATGGCTTAAGCCCAGAAAAGATGACAGCTTAGTTCCTGGAGCTGTGACACACGGAGGTAGGAACGCGTAATCATAACAGGGAGAGACACCACTGAGATGGGGAAAACGGATAGGAGACCCACCACCCCAAACTCAAGATCTCCTCACCAGAAAGGCGGTCCAGCCAACCATAGCATTCCAGATTTATTCCGATCCCAGAACACGTTGAGGCCTCCTCCCCTTCTGCTACCTCCTATTCGCTACATAAAGCGCCTCACGTGCGGAGCAAGAGTCCAGGCGCAGCACCCACAGCCTACCATTCTGAAGCTTCCCTTCTTACTATAGGGGTTCTGAAAGCAGTAGCATCAGATATTAAAGAGACCCTCTCTGCAGCCATCGCTGAGTTACGTATCGATATGCAGGAAGTGGCTAAAAGGCTTGAAGCAGTAGAGGATAAAAGTTCTCATGCAAGACCTTGCCATCCTTGATATGCGCCACGTGGTATATATGCACACTCAGAGAGCTTGATCGTCACATGGAGGACCTAGACAACAGGGGAAGACGTCATAATTTAAGGGTACGCGGTGTCAACTGAAACTATTGACTCGGGCCAACTCTCTCAAACACTTTTAGCCATCTTTAATGGTCTTTGGGAAAGACCACAGGAGTCTCCTATTGAGATCGAATGCCTCCATAGGGCTTTGCGTCCTAGAGGTAGAGACATTGATCCCCCAAGAGATATAATTTGCTGCCTAGTCGACTTCCGACTTAAGGAGGAAATATTGCGCAGAGCACGAGATCGAAACCGCGTGATAGACAATAGAACAGAAATCAAATTATAGCAAGATCTCTCCCATCTCACCTTACAGCGCAGAAAGGATTTATGCCCATTACTGGATCTGTTATGTTCCAGAGGCATAGCATACCGCTGGAGATTCCCGTTTGGCCTCTCAGCAACACATATGGGGCGATCTGCTCTCCTGAGATTCTCGGAAGACATCTTTTCATTCCAATAGTGGAAATACCCAACTGGTCTGGTGAGTCCCACCTCCCATCTTAGAAGGAAGAAGACCCAATGGAGGCTTAATCCGCTGGACACCCTGGAGGAGCAGGGCACCACAGTCCATCTCACCATACCTCGTCTTCCTCTATTCGACGAAGGCTCATCGCTGGAGACAGTCTGTGTCAGGAATGGAGATATTTTATTATGTATTTGAGTCATACATATCCAGCACACTTTTCTTATAAAAGTAAAAAACATAAATAAATAAATACAAACATG